AAAAAAAATTTTTTTTTTTGGATAGAGGGCTTGGCATGATAAAAGAAGGGTATTAGAGGAATGATAGAGTTATACCATATTGATTTTTAAGTTATATGAATTGTGCTATGTGATTTGAGAGGGAAGAATTCTAATAGCAAGGGTAAATTGTACTAAATGAGCTTTTGAAGTGAAGTAGTTAAGAGTAGAGTATATGGACATGTTATTCTTACAGTTAGTTGCAGTTGTTGACCTCTGTGAATCTGTATGCTCGTGTGTACACACACACACACACACACACACACATTTCTTAAGAACTTATTTATTTATTTATTTACTTATTTTTTTGGCGGAACCGGGGATTGAACTCAGGCCCTTGTGCTTGCCAGGCAAATGCTTATTCTACTGAGCCATCTCCCTGACCCTCTTAAGAGCTTTTTATAAGTGAGACTTTTGCATTATGAGATGACTTTCGATCAAGCTTCTCTTTCCCTGTCCCTCTTTCTATGGAGATACTTGTTACTGGGATAATTGTGTGGTAATAAAGGGCATGCCGTTGGAACATGCTGTATGTCTTCATTACTCATCTCTTGTTGCTGAGACAAAATACCCGATAAAATACCCAAAATGAAGGAAGGAAAGGTTTATTTACACAGTTTGTGAAGGTTTCAGTCTATACACAGCTGGCTCCAAGGCAGAATGGCTCATGGCAACTTTTCATGGCAGTAACAAAGAGCAGAGAGCAAAAGGGCAGGAATAGTGGCAACAGTGGTTATAGAGAGCAAGTCTCCCTTAAGTTGCATTCAGGCTGTCCGCCCCAGGCCAGGTATGACACTTATACCCATAATCCCAGTAGCACTTACACCCATAATCCCAGTGGATCATGAGTTAGTCACAAAGTCTAGAAGTCCACCCCCTGACTGCATGAGGCTTTGGGGGGACAACTAGACACAAACTGTAACACCGTATTTCCCTGAAGATAAGACTAGGTAGGTCTTACGTTAATTTTTGTTCCAAAATTGCAGGAAGACTTTATTTTTTTATTTATTTTTTTTTAATTTATTTATTTTTTTTCAGGAAGACTTTATTTTCAGGGAATGCATTATTTTTTCACATACGAGAATATACTCTTAGGTTTAAAAATTAAATTTATTTGTTTATTCATGTGCAAGTCTACATTTATTCAAAGACAGTTAAGTAATTTTCTTCTGGAACACTGTTGTAACTCTCCAAATCCTAAATTTTGGCCTGAGCTTCTCATGACTTCATTTCCTGTGGAAACCCTGGCCCCCATCTCTGCTGTCTAGAGATAGAATTGTCTTTAAGTAAGCATTGATTGTCCTTGGAGACTGCTCACTGACATCACAGCTCTTAATGATTTTACCCATGAATTTTCTCAAAAAATGTCCATTAAATCAAGTGTTAATTGAAAGCTTATAAGACAGGAGTAGCAGTCAAAACAATGGCAATTAAGAATGATAATTTTATAAAAGCGATAAAAAAATCTCAGGCATCAAAATTCAGACAATATTTATTTCACCTAAGTGCGTTAAGTAATCTGTCGCAACACATAGTGAAGTGGGACGATTCATGTTAGAACCATCCATGTCTGTTCTTGATCAAGTACGCACATTGTTCGTACATTGTAGCTGTACTCTGATTGGTCATTTGGCAGTAAGCCTCACGTGTATTTACCTCTCATCCAAAGGGACCTGCTTGGTTATTTCCAAATACTTAGTTATAATTTATATTATTTTAAGTATTAATGTTTGTAATGTGTATTTATATTCAATTGTATGTTAGTATTATTTTGCACTGCAGTACATCTGTCATGTGTTACAACAGACATACTGTGTCCATCTGGCTTATGATCTGAACCAGGACTTATTTGGGGGGTAGGTTTATATTATGAACATCCTGAACAATGATGCCTGGGCTTATTTTCTGGTTAGGTTGTATTTCTTGGGGAAATATGGCATTATCCACGGTGTCAAGCATTCATTGGTGGTCCTGAGATGTATCTTCCCCCTGGAACTGCTTTAGTAACTTCTTTGTATTGTATACAAGTAACTAATAACAGTGTAGGAACTAAAGAAATTCAAGTTTGGAGTCAAATTTCCATAGATGGAGGAAAGCCTGAATTTATTTTGTGGGTGTGAGATATAGAGGAGGTAGAGGCAAGGCCTAATGCAAAGCCAGGGTTGCTTAAATTTGGAGGTTAGTCTGGAGAGATGACATTGAAAGTGTGGGGTTTCAGGCCCAGAGTTAGACAAAGTGTTGGTAGTAAGTAACAGAATTTGGTTGAAATAATAGTTGTAGGGGTTTCCGTTTATATTGATCAACCTTTAGAATACTGAACAAGTTTTCCCCTGGGTTTTGAGGTGCACTGGTGAGTAGACACTTTCTGGAGGTGGGGGATAAGGTTCCTGCTTTGATTCACTTGCATTTCTACCTGGTGAGCTAGTGTGGACATTGTAGAAAGCTCAAAAACAGTTCTGCCATACAGAAAATAATGAAAAGTTTATTTTTTGGTACTGGGGCTCTAACTCAGGACCTTATGCTTGCCAGGCAAGTGCTTATGCTGTTGAGCTATCTTGCTGGCCCTAATGAAAAATTTAAAACACACAAAAATGGAATAATTAAAAATAAAACTTCCAGATACCTATTATCCTGCTCGAAAATTTATCAGAATGTATTGAACATGGCCAATCTTGTGTTGTCTCCCATTTTCTCAGTTATTTTCAAGCAGACTACATAATCATATCATTTCACATCAGTAAGTTTGTACATTTCTATTGAAAGCTTTGGCAGAAGCCATATTTAAATGATTTTCTTGATTTAGCATTCAAGAGCATGGTGGCCAGGAAGTAAGTGGGGCAGGGCAGGGACTAGGGACAGGATGCAGCCTTCACAGTCCTGTGCTCAGGGGGCGTCCTCCTTCACCTGGGCATCACCTCTGTGTATCCCACTCGCCTGTGATCAGAGCTTAGCCCCCTCCTGATGCAGTCACCTGTCTGGGCCCCACCTCTGAATATTGCAGCATTGGGCATTACAAATAGTGTTTCTTGGGGGAGGGGATGTTATGTTTCAACTGGAACTCCCTGTTTTCTGTTTTGCTCTTAAATGTAGAATGCAGAGTGTTGTTGACTGAAAATGGGGAGTAGTTTCTTCTGAAGAGTAGGAAGGTGTTTCAGATCCTTGAGCTTGGATAATGGGATTAGGGAGATCACAGAACCCAGTTAAGTAAAAAAATTGTGTAGAGCACAGAACCTGACATTTTTCTTGCCCTCTAATGTTCACATTACTTTTTTCCTGCATATTTTTAGTAGCACACCAATCACATGTTATGCACATAGGAAAATATCTTTTCCCTCAGTTTTCATGCCTGCCAACCCTAAAAGGCATGGGAGTTCATCCAGCTCTATTTCCTTTCTCCTACCATAGCTCATATCCTCTAAACAAGTCAGCCTCGTGAATCTTTTTTTTTTTTAATTTATTTATTTTTTGAGAAATAAATATGAATGAGATGGTTTCACAGCTGATTAATAGGACAGTTTTGATAATCAATACATTGTACATTGTTATCTTCTTAGTGGTTATCCGTAGTACAAGAAGCAGATAGGATATCCTGTCCAAACACTATTAGTACACCTCTTTCTTATCGTTGAATTAAGCGAACCTCATGAATCTTAAAGTCTTCATTATTTCTCTCATTGACTTTTACTTAACTACATTTTGAACAGTATTGCCTCCTTTGTGTAGAGGCAAAGGGTTGGTTGGGTGGATAGTCAGGGTTTTTGTGGTTAACTCTTCTGTTCTAGTTTTAGATTTGTTTCTAAACAAGATGTGTAAGAAATAGAAAATGAACAAATTTGCTTTGTTATATAGCACATGAATAGTAATTTTATAGCACATGATAATTTTCTATATGAGGTCATTTATAATGTAATTTGATGTCATTTTAATGAGAAATACAGAATTAAATACTTTGGTTAAGTTAACTCAAGCAGTTTTCTTATTTTTTTCTCTTTCTTTCCTATCCCTTATTTTTTTAAATTACAGCAAAAATCTGGAGAAAAGCCTGTCCCAGGTATGGTACCACTGATACTCTTTATAAACTTGATGGAATACCAAACACTGTCTAATTCAATAATAATGATGAGATAGCAAGGTTATTTTGTCCTTACTTTTTGTAATTTGTCACTCCTGAGGTTTTTTTTTCCTTGTATGTATCTGGTACAGGGTTTCACTATGCAGCTCGGACTTGTAGTGATCCTCCTGTTTTTCAGCCTCCCCAGTCCTGGGAGAGGTGTGCACCACCATGCCCAGACTGCGTTGCTGACTCAGCATTCCCCAGGGGCGGGGCCTGCGCAGCATATAGGGGAATCAAACCCTGGTCCCTGTGTTTGCCAAAGCTGGCACTTAGTCCGCTGAACTATCTCACTGGCCCTACTCCTGACTTTTGAGATCTGCTGAATTTGTGGTAGTCACCCTCATAACTCAAAGGTGGCTTTGGAGCTGGGTGTAGTGGCACATGTCTATAATCCCAGCATTTGGGAGGCTGAGGTAGGAAGAAGCCATCCTGGGTTACATAGCGAGTGTTTAGGCCAGGCTGAACTGCATAGTAAGACCCCGTCTCAAAACACAACAGCATATAAAGGAAAAAAAAGAATTTAGGTGGAAAGAATAGGAAATGGGATGAAGTTGGGATGAGTTGAGGTGGTTTTTATTTTATTTTATTATTTTGGTGGAACTGGGGATTGAACTTAGGCCCTTGTGCTTGCCAGGGAAGCGCTTATTCCACTGAGCCATCTCCCTGGCCCCTGAGGTGGTTTTTAGTTTCATAATTGAAAACAGTATTAGACTGGGTTACAATAATTATATAACTTATTTATCTGTGACTGCTTTATTTAAATACCATGTGTTTTTGTGTAGAATCACAAATTTCCTTGAGGCAGTGATAGGATGTTAGATTTATAACTACCTTCTTAAATGCACCTGCCTGAGCCATGCTTGGTGGCACATGCCTGTAATCCCAGTGCTCTGGAGGGTGAGGCAGGAGGATGCACAAGTTTGAGCTGAGCTACCAAGTGAACTCAAGGCCGGCACTACATACTGAGACCTGTTCCTGAAAACAAACAAAACAAAACGTCTGCCCAAGGAAACTACTCAGTGTAGAACTAGAGAAAAGCATTTAAAAAATGAATTTCAAAGAGAGAACCATTTTATATTAACCTTTGCCTGCATTTATCCTTTCACCCTCATTTCTCTAAAAAATCTGCTTTTGATGTCTAGTGGATCAGACAAAGAAAGAGGCAGAACCTATACCAGAAACTGTAAAATCTGAAGAGAAAGCGACCACAAAGAATGTCCAACAGACATTGAACACTAAAGGCCCACCTGAGAAAAGAATAAGGCTTCAATGAGTATTGGACAAAAGAAAAACTTGCAAGACTCTATTTTCAATTATTATACCTCAGTGTTGTTGTGGATTTTTCAGATTTAAAGCCCTTTTTCATAACCCTCTCATTTGTATGGAATGTGGTTATTCTTGAAGGTTGTTTCCATCATGCTGTGTGAATATTTCTTATGTATCTTTTGTAATGTTTCCTCTTTTGGACTTGAGAAGTTTACTTACATGTGTATGTGTATTACATTTAAAGACAAAAATAAAAGTATATGTAAGTATTCATTTATTGTGACCTTTTTTTCTTAAGTCTGAACTTTTTCAGGTATGCTTTGAGGGTACAAAGGTTAAATTTAACACAGTAATTAGCACATTTCTTATATCAGTTGTATACTCTTTTTTAAAGTTGTAAAAAGTGCTTATTAGTACATGCTTGCCCTACATGATCATATCATGCTGCTGTAGACGTGGGTATGCATGTGTCATGGTATGATTACTCTAATATCTTCAGGTAGATACGTAGAAGGGAAATGAGGGAAATGGAACTGCCTCTTATTTGTTATTTTACAGAAAAAAATTTCAAAACAAAGTAGAATAACAGTAATACATTGTATATTGTTATCTTCAAAGTAGTTACTCAGAGTACTACATAAGGATTCTGCAAACAATATTGCCGCAAACTTTTTCATTTAACTAAGAGAAACTAGTAGTATGATTAATTGAGTATATTTTTTCTGCTTCCCTTCCTTTCCCCTTTTGCCCACCCGAGTTCCTCTTTTGAACAGTTTCTTATCATTTAAAAATATCTGTTGTACATTTACTTGCCATTTGTATTTCTTCATCTGCGAAGTGCATTGTCATCTCAGATGCCCACTTTTGGATTGGGCCTTTGAATTTGGGGAGTCTTGAGTTTTTCAGTACTTTGTATGTTCTAGATAGAAGTCCTTTGTCTGAGGGAGAGTTGGGTAAATTTTTTTTTCCCAGTTTGCGTGTTGTCTTTTCACTGTTGGCGATTTCTTTAGCTGTGCCAAAGCTTTTGAATGAAATCCCAGTTGTGAAGTCTTTGAAGTGTTTCCCTTGCACTTTGGGTTTTGTTCATGAAGTCTCTGCCTACACCTGTGTCTTTTAAGGTTTCTACTTACTTTGTCTTTTTAGCAAATGCAATGTTTTTGTTTTAATATTAGTTTTTTGATTTTACTTTAGTGCATGATGATAGACATAGGTCTAATTTTAGTCTTTGGAACATGTAAGGCCAGTTTTTCCAGCACCATTTATTTAGAGGACATCATCCAGTGAAAATGTTGAGCCCATTTGTCAGAGATAAGGTGGCTGACTGGAGTTGTATCTGTATCTTCTGCTTTGTTCCATTTATTCTTCTCTTTTGCTCTCCCCCACCAGTACCATGCTGATTTCATCACAGTAGCTTTGTGGCATAGTTTTACAACAGTAGCTTTGTCTATGTTGCTATTTTACTTGCACTTTTTTTTTTTTTTTTTTTTTTTTTGTGCAATGGGATTGAACTCAGGCCCTTATGCTTGCCAGTCAAGCGCTTACTCTACTGAGCCATCTCCCTGGTCCCCTATGTTGCCATTTTAATTGCTTTTGCTATTTTATTCTAGTTTTTTTCTGTTTCCAAATGAGTTTTAAGAATGTTTTGTTCTGTGAGGTATGCTAATGATATTTTGATTGAGATTGCTTTAAATATAACAATTTTGGTAGTAGGCTGTTTTCACTATGTTGTTTTTTCTTATCCATGAGCAAAGGATAGCTTTCTTCTGATACTGTCTTTGATTTTCCTCTTCAGAATACTGTAATTGTCAATGTCTAGATGTTTTAATTCCTTTGTTAGGTAGTGACCTAAGTCTTTTTTTTTTTTCCCCCCAATGCTATTATGAAGGGTGTGGTTTTGTAATTTCTCTCTCAGTGAATTTGTTGTATTCAGGAATGCTGTTAATTTTTGAGTGTTGACTTTGCATTTAGCTCTAATCAATTTGGTTATTAAATCTACAGATCTTTTGGTGGAGTTTTTGGGATCTTCTATGTACAGTATGACATTTGTGAATAAAGATAGTTTAATTCCTTATCATTTATTTCTCTTGTCTAATTGCTGTAGATAATGTTTCCAGAACTGTTAAATGGCAGTAGTGACACTGGACGTCCTCTTGTTCCTTATTTTACAGTGAGAGCTCAGGACCTTGTGCCTAGTGTTTAAGCTGCTGAGCCATCTACCTGGCCCAAAAGCTTTCACATTAAAGTGAAGTGTTTTGATTGGGATTGCATTAAATCTGTGTAATAATTTTTGTAGTACAACCATTTCACTGTTTGTTCGTCCTATCCATGAACAAGAATGTCTTCCCACTTTCTGATATTGTGTTTGGTTTTTCCTTTTTCAGAGTACTGTTAGGTGGAGTCATAAGTATTTCATGTTTGTTTTGGCTGCTGTTGTGAAGGGTGTGCTTTTGACACCTTCAGGTCAGCTTTTGACCATTTGATGTGATGTTAGCTGATGGCTTGTCATAGATGGTGTTTATCGGATTGTGATAAAGACCATCTATTCCAATTTTCTATAGTTTTTAAATCATAAATGGGTGTTGGTCTTTTTCAAATGCCTTTTTAGCAATTATTGAGATGATCTTTTTTCTTTTCATGTGGTGCTGGGGGTTGAACCCAGGGCCTTGTGCATGCAAGGCAAAAGCTGTGCCACCAAGCCACATCCCCAGCTTCTATTGAGATGATATTGTGATTTTTGTCTTTGGCTCTGTTAATATGGTATATTATGTTTATTGATTTGCATGTGTTGAACCATCCCTGCATCCCTGGCATGATTTCTACGTGGTCATGGTATATAAATTTGATTTGCTGCCTTCTGTTGCCAGTGTCTTATTGAGGATTTTGGTGTCTGTGTTCATTAGGGAAATGGGCCTGTAGTTTTCTTCTTTGCTGGGTCTTTCTGTGGTTTGGGCATCAGAGTAATACATGTTTTCATAGTTTGAAAGTATTGTATCCCTTAATATTAGTGACATTGATTCTTTAAATTTGTTGTATTCAACAGTAAAATAAAATTGATAAAGCCCTAGCCAACTTCATCAAAAGGAAGTTTCAAAGTAAAGCAATTAAGTGAAAAGAGGGAAAGCACAATGGAGCCTGCAGAAATCCAGAAGATTGTGAATACCTCAGTCTCCAGCCATACATGCTGTGTGGTCCCTTCCCCCGCCCCAGCACAATGACCTGGCCACTGTAGTGAGACTGTACCAAAAATCATTTTTTAAAAAAGAAATATAATCGAGACTATAACTTAGAACAATGCATCAAAGAGTTGGTTCTTCAAGAGATTACATAAAATTACCAACATAAAATGCCAGGCTCCTACAAATTTACTGTTGAACATTAGGTTGTTTGAGTCCATTCTATTTTCCTAATGTGAGAATTCACCTCTATAAATTTCCCTCGTAGGACAGCTTTCATTGCACCACATAAGTTCTGATGTTTTGTGCTGGCCTTAGGATTTAACTGTAGATACTGTTTAAGTGCTTCTTTAATTTCCTCTGTGACCCAATGGTGATTGTAAAGTTCCTTCTTCCTCTGGCAGAGAAGTGGGGGAGGGGGACAGTAAAGAAATCCTTTATTACTTGAGGTGAGAGGGCTGCTGAGAAGCTAGAGTCCCTGAGGGAGAAAACAGGTTGGAGCTTTTATCAGATTGGACTAGGGGTGGAGTGTACTTGGGCAGCTGTACATGGCGTAAGAGGCGCTGATTGGAGGCTTGATGCACAAGACAATCAGAAGAGGAAGTTCATCATTAACTCAGGGTAAGAAGGAAGCCAGTCTAGAAGCTGCTCCTCTCCTTGGTTGTGGAATCTCTGTGTGGTGCTGACTCGCTGCCATGAGGAACCTGTGGACTGCTGCATAGGCACAGACCCATCTGTTGTCCCGAGAGTGTTGTTTATTTCCGCATGTTTATACAGTTCCTGTGGTATCTCTTCCATCAACTCCCAATTTCATTGCACTATGGTCAGTTGGTATGCATGGGATAATTTCAGTTTCTCTGCAGTTATGAAAGCAAGGTTTTTGGGCTAATAAGTGGTCTGGGTTATGGGTCACTCAGCATAGGAACCAGATCCCCTTATTTACTCAGCTTAAGTCCATCAGCCATTTTCCACGCAGGAAAAGACTGATTGGCAATCGTTCCGAACATAGGTAGCAGGGGCGTGTTTATGACAGAAATCAGATCTAGTTTGGTAAGTGAATTTGTTACCTAGCACAGAACAACAGGAATCTACATTCGACACAGCTGCAAACTAAAGGGTCTTTTACAGTTTACTGATAAGCGCATATTTTTATAAGATACATCTTAAGCTGATTATGTTTACAGGAGTTGGTTAGGGAGGGAGTTTGTTTCAGCTCGCTGCCTTGAAAGAAACAGTTACTCACTGCTAAACAGCCTTGACCAGGGATTGAGAACGCATTCCTTAGAGAAGATAACAGGAAACACAAGTTTTCTCCTAATAATTTCCCACAGTTAAAGCACAAAATTCAGTTAACCCATTACAGTCTGTTTTGGAGGATGTCCCATATGCAGCTGAGAAGAAGATGTATTCTGATGTGGTATGGAACATCATAGACACAGTCTAAGTCCATTTTATCACAGGTTCAGCTTCATTCTGAAATTTCATTATTTTTGTGTCTAGGATATCTATCTAGTTGTCAGAGTGGGGTATTAAGGCCCGCTGTTACAATTTTGTGAGTGCCTATTGGAATTTTCTTGGTGAAAATCTGATTTATGTAATTGGGTGCACTGGTGTTTGGTGCATCTATATTTATGATTGTTATCTCTTGGATTTTTCCCTTAACCATGTACTGCATTTCTTTGTCTCTTTTGATCAGTCTTGTTGTGAGGTTCCCATTGTCTGCTAATAGAATAGTTATTCCTGCTTTTACTTCTGGGTTCTTACAATATGGAGTATTATTTTCCTTTAGTCTATAAATTTCTTTCTTAGTTCAGTGTGTTTCTTGTCTGCACCATATTGTTGGCTCTTGCTCCTTGATCCATTCTGCCATCTATTTCTTTTGATTTGTGAGTTGAGAATATTTAGTGATAGTTGTAACTGATGCTTATTGATTTATTACCCTTTTTCTTTTAAACAAACATTTACTTGAGAGACAGTATAGCAGTAATTGATATGACATGACAAGCAGTACGTATTTAGAAGACCGGAATAACAGGCATTCCAAGCATGACCCTAGTATTACACATTGCTGTTTACTG